GGGGGGGGGGGGGGGGGGGGGGGGGGGGGGGGGAACGCGCCGGTATCATAGCGATCATTACAGAGGTACAGCCGCAGCACGTGCACGTGAGCGGGCAGGTAGGCGGTGTTGGGGATGCTGGCCTCAAGAGTCGTGTGAAGGATAGGAGTAAAGCAGCATCGCCATCATCACAGAGATAACCGTAGCAGCGCGAGTAGACACCAAACCTCCCCCTCCCCCGGCCCAAACTCACCTGCGCTACGAGGAGCTCCTTCTTCTCCTTCTTGGACAGGACCGGCACGCCGGGGCCCCTGTCCCCCACCGCGGTGGTTTCCGTCTTCACCTCCACCGCCGACGACTTCCTCGACCCCATCCCCGATGACCGTCGGCTCTTCCTGCCGCTGGCGCGCTTCTTCGCAGACGCGGCCGCGGCGGTGGTGGCATCGGTGGGCACGGAGGGAGAGCCCCCCCCCCCCGTGGACGGCCGCGGCGGGATGCCCGCGCCCCCGCCGCTCGCGGGAAGGCCCCCGGCCCCCTGACTCCCCTCTTCCTCCCCTTCCGCGGCCCCCCCGCCGCCGTCGGAGGAATCGACCACCAGGGAGGACCACTTGTCCGGGTGGGACAGCTGGCGGGAGAGGATCGCCGCGTCGACTTCCTCCTCTATGGCCTTGGCCACCGCCTCGTTGCCCTTGGTCTTCCTGCCGCCGCCGCTGCCGATGGTGGTGGACGGGGCGGGGCCACCGCCTCCGTTCGCGAGGAAAGGCGCCGCGGAGGCGAAGCCGCTGCCTACCGCGTTGGACGTCGTCGTCGGCAGCATTTTCTGGATTCGTTTTGGTTTCAGTTTGGATCGGTAGGTGCACACGGGGCGGGAGGGGGGGGGGTGAGATATTTGGCGAGTCGCATGAAGGGTGAGCTGCATCCTGCGAAGGGTGTTCGGCACCTTGTGCTTACTTCCTTGCGTATGGATGACAGCTGCGTTTGACTAAATTTATTGTCTGGTGCTTTCACTTCCAGAGACAATTATAAGCACTGTGTAACTGCCTCGAGGGTGCTTGACCATCATAACACAACGTGGCGCGATTATCCCCCTTGCGCGGAGTGAAGGTTCTAGACCCCGCACAACATAATCAACTCGACCGGGGAGGGTGGGGGGGGATTGCCGTGAATTAAGAGCGCGAGAGAGACATGCAACAATATCACAAGAAAACCTGACAATGTAGCATCTTTCACCCGTCAGCACTTCGTGCAAGTCGGTCAACAACAACCCAAAACGGGAGGAGGAAACAATAGATGGAACAACAACAGCAAGCCCAACGTATGTAGATCTTCAAAGCATGTAGCCCTGTGTCATTTTCGCAGCCCTCACCAGGTATTCGGGACTCTTCCCTTCCGCCGTCTGCTTCTCCACCAACCTCGCCACGGTCATATCTCGCACCAGCGCCTGGCAATAAGAAACAAACACACGACAGTCAACGAGCGACAAAAACAAAAAAAAGAAACGCGTGCTCAGACAACACAGACGCGCGGGATACGATGTTCATTCGCCGCACGACGGCGTGCGCACGCCATGTGTCTTGCGGACCTGCATAACAACAGCGCCTTAGAACGAAAGCCCCCTAAAGCACCAAAGGGGTCGGTGCCAAACACGACACAGAGACAGACGAACAGAAAGGAGGGTGGATCATGTATCATGCCACTTCACTTCAACGACGGGATGCCGATCCAATGGGTCGCTCCACATCTTCAGCAGCCTTAACCGACGGCGCAGCCACATCCGTGACAACACAAAAACGACAAAAAAAATGGCAGAGAAAATTATACATGGAAGTCCAACTCACTCTAGGATCGAGAGTCTTGCAGGGAGGCACGGCCAGCATGTGCGTGGAGCGCGCGAGTACGGTCACCACGTTGCTCATGTACTGCTCGTAGCGGACGTTATCCCTGTTGCCCACCTGGGGTATTCATCGAGAGCAGTCGCGTTGGTGTTGACGGGTATGCAGATGAAGCGGTTGGCATGAGAGAGGGGTGATTCCCCGAACAAAACAAAAATATTAAATACAAAAAAATAGGACATTGAAGGCAAACATATACCATACCAGAGGGTAGATATTTAATTGGGATCACATGGCTGAGAAACGGCCGAACGGGAAACACAAAGACCGAGCGCGCGCGCGCGAGAGAGAGAGAGAGAGAGAGAGACAGCGAGGGAGAGAGAGAGAGAGGTAACAGCGACAGGGGTTTAGAAGCCCTCACCCTTGAACTACCTAGTTATGGCGCAAGAAGGTCAAACACCAAAACAGCGCCAAGGCCGGAAGCACACAACACAACACACGCACGAGCGACTACTGTTGTGCGAAAAAACTCAAAACCGTGGACGAAAGTCATCTTGTCGAAACGAAACGACGTGCTTTAAGGAGGCGGAAAGACCGACAGGGCTTGATGTTTCGACCAAGGAAACCTGCATCCAAGACCTCAAGAGCACTACTGCTGTTGGTTGCCGCCGCCTGCACAAGGCAAGGCAAGGCGCGGTGGGGTGCTTGCTCAGCACACTCACGTCCATGCAGGACACGTCGATCCAGATGTACTGGATGTTGTCTCCGGAGTGCTCCTTCAGGTAACGTTGCACCTGAAACCAGTCCACGCACAGGAATAAACGTGCGACATACAGCATCGGGGCACAGCAGTGGGAATGAGACAGGTAGCAGGAGGCCTTCCGCCGTTCGCGGATGATAGGATGATGGCATATAGAAATACTGCATCGGGAGGTTGGGAGCACAGCAATGAGAGCGCGACATAAAATAGGCGAGACCGCTGGCGGATGGCATGACGGCATAAATACCACAACAGCAGCACATCATACCAACAAAAACTCCAAGGAGGTATTTCGACGCAAGAGGGGCTGTAAAACAATCTTGATACTCCGAATACCTCGCCTTTGCACCAAAGTTAGCGCGGGCTTGGGCGCCTCCTCTTGCCTAAATCGAACTCGACACGGACGAGACCGTCATCACCAATAGCGACCAACAGAAGTAGCAGCAGCAAGAGCAGCAGCAGCAGCAGCAGCAGCAGCCGTAGCAAAGCAGCAGCAACGCCAGCAATAGCACCAAACACCAACAGCAATACAAACACCAACAGCACCGCAACAGCACCAAACACCATCAACAATACAAACACCATCAACACCCAACACAAACGACAGCACCAGCACCAGCACCAGCACCAGCACCAGCACTAACACAAACGACAGCACCAGCACCAGCACCAGCACCAGCACCAACACAAACATCCCCTTTCGTGACCCCCTATACCTCCGGAAGGTCGTGTCCCTCCACCACTCCTTGTCACCTGCAACAAGGCGTGCGCGTCCTGGGTGTCCGGCTCCCCGATTCCGGCCCACCTGTGCGACACGTAGAGCACCTTTGCGGCCGGGTGCAGCGACGACATCGGCTCCAAGAGGTGGCGCTCCTGGGCCTCCTTGAAGGTGGGCATGTACGACTGCGCGAGGACCGCCGGCTTGGTCAGGACGAACACCTGGCCGAGCGACCGACGACGACAGACAGCGCGCCCGGAGCAGCAAAATAATAAATAAATCAATCGCCGAGATGAGCAAGTTGTGACAACAAAAAAAATCGTGACAACCATCGTACGAATACAAAATACTACTTCAAGCACATGATATGCTGCTGGGCGTCAACGGGCGGGCGTAATGCATTTGAGCCTCCGGACGAACGCGACGTCGAGGAGCACAAGGCATCTGAGCCTCCGAGAGGGCGGGACCTGCCGTCAACCTCAAGCGCATGTAGATCTCATCGTCGATCGTTTCCTGGACGACATGGCCCTGGGAGAGATCGGCGAGCTTCCCGCCCACGTCACTTGCGATCATCGACCGGATGGTACGCTTGGCTTCGGCTGGTAGCGTGTCGCCATCGAATTCTGCTGCTGCGTCTGCAACATTTGGTCAGACTGCACATGCCGCGGAGGTATGGAACCCCCGTTGACAACGGAAAGCGAGGGATCAACACCATTCCAGTGGTCTGAGATGTGTAGCAAACCTTTTCCCAACTTGAGTATAATTCTGCGTACGCCAGAAAGAAGTCCTTGCGAGGATGGTATCCCTCAAGTTTAACACACACATACACATGACCAAGAGACAAAGGATTGTGCTGGACCAGAAAAAAAAAAAACATGCACAACGACGAGCACACGGGGCGCCGGACAGCAGTGGTCGTCGTCGAACCAACCAATGTTGTGACGCCCCTTCATAAATCGCTAGGCGTACTTGATCTATGTCCACCGCACCGCCGGACTAAGAGAAAAAGAAAAGGAAAAAGAAAAAGAAAAACGGCAGGATGTGATGCTCATTGCCACTATGTGGTCCCTGGCTGGTACGATAGACATCTGCATCGCACCTGCTCCGGGTCGAAGCCCCACACGGCGTTCTTCATGGTATCGACGAAGCGAGCCATGCGACGGTGCCCCTGGCTGGAGGGGCCCGGGGGAACGAAGACGGGGTAGGGCACGCCGTTCGAAGCTTTTTTTTTCATCAACATAAACGGCGGTGGCGGCGGCAGCAGCAGGAGGGTGGGGAGGAAACACGCGTGAGCTAGTGTTGACGGGAGGGGGGGCGGGGGGGGCGGGGGGAGGGGGCATGAACGCAGCGCCTTCGGGGAAGTAGATTGAGTCTTTGTGGTTTGATTTACTCCACCACTCTCTCTCCATCTCTCTCTCTCTGTCTGTCTGTCTCCCTCTCCCTTATGTGACTGTGTGACTGTCTGCCTGCCTGCTTATCTGCTGCCTCTCGTGCCTATTCACTTCTGGGAATGACGAGCAGCAGCGCACGAGTCACCCGAAAAAACATACTCCACTGCGCGGAAAACGCCTCTACACTCCGATCCCGATTCAAGTACAACTACCCCACCAACAACGCTCACACGCCAGCAATCAACATGGAGCTTCGTCATTCTTTGATAGTCATTTCTACAATAGCGCACGTTGTGCCATCACGCTTGTGCGAAAAAACACCATACTAACGACAACACCACACTGTACATGCAGGGGCAAAAGGCAGGAGGCAAACCCCCGTATTGTACCGAAAAAGTGGTCTTGGTCCTTCGTCTCCTGCTCCAGCTCCCTGGGGCTGTTCACCGGCTCGACGTCGTCGGCGTTGTCCTCGCCGCAGGTGAACAGCCCGCCGCTCTTCTCCTTCGTCTCTGCTCCGAAAGACGGCCGAGACGGAAAGAAGGATAAACGATACGTAAAACCCTGGTGCATCCGTCGGGAAAGACGTGCGGCTTACCGCACAAAACACAAGATAACACACCCCCTGGACCCATTTTCAAAGCTCGACTACTCCACGACCAAGAAGATAAAAAAAGGAAACGATACGTTTTCGGAGAGATCTCGACCAGACGGCTTCAACGCCGCCGTTTTCGACACGCCTTCTCTTTTTGCTGATGATAAATCGAGCTTGGAAAATCGGGCAAGGGTGTGCGTTATCTTGTGTCGTACACGACACACGCTCAGCACAACAGGTGGCATGCACGACTCAGCAATTCCGAGGTCCTTTTGTGGGGGGAAGGGGCGGAATCGAACAGCCCGCCAAATTATTCTTTCCACTCTGGTCCAACTGCGGGCACAACAGGGGGCAAACAGCAGTGGAATACGTCGCGCTGTCCGCAAAAAGATCTCTCGCGAACTCCTACGAAGTACATGGAACCGGGTGGACTGATCGGCGTCGCCTAAGCTCCACACTCGATTTGGGTAGGGGGGGCGGGGGGGGGGGGGCTCTTACCTTCTCCTTCCTCCCCTGGGGGAGGCGTCGGTGGCGGGTTGAGTGCGATCCCGTCGGTGGCCAGCTGTCTCGACAGCAGGGAGGGCAGGTCGGCGCCCAGCACGCCGCACTTGATGGGGTCCACGTTGCCGTCCTGGACACCCACCACGTACCTAAAAGAAAACACATCCATTATCCATCCCAGAAAAACCAAAATGATCAACAGCAGCAGGGCAAAAGTAGATACCTACCTAAAGGAAACAGGTGCAACGCACGCAACACGGGAGATGATTCCTGGACGCCCACCACGTAGCTGAAACCGTCATCCATCCCAGAAACAAAACAAAACAACCAATAGTAATAGCAGTGCACGATAGAAACACGGAACACATACAAACGAACAAAACCGGTCTTCAATAGAGACAGAGAGCACCATCTTCACCGCGACGTGGGGCTGAGTGCACGCGAGCCCCTACCGCAGCGGCTCAAACACACACGACGTGGCGCGAAGGGCATCCTCGCATCCGTGGCTTTGTGAGTTAACCTCAAGTCACGTCATCATTTGTCCTTGATCGCCTCTCCTCGCCCCCTATACCATCCCGCCCCCCGGCCTCATACCGCCAACCCCACCCGACAGACACTCCCGGAATACATACATGGCAACAATAAAATGGAACGATCGCAACGAGTCAGACGCGGTACGTGGAGCCGCCATCACATACCAGCGGCGCGTATTCCTCCTCCTCCCCTTCCTCTTCCTCCTCCGACAACGAGTACCACAGACCCAACGGCTTGCGCAAGAAACGGCGGCGAGCCAGCCACACACAATCAATCCTCCAACCAGTACCGCCTGTCGCTAGAAGCAAAAGCTGGTCTTACCGGATCACGGCCACGTGAACGCCCCCGGCGAAGGCCTTGATGACCGGCGTGTGCCCCGCCTTATTCTTCATCACCAACAGCTCATGCGGCGACAGGATCCTCGCCGGCGGTTGGTGTTCCGGCGCGTCACCTGGTGTCCCCGAGTAGGTACGCGTACAAAGGAAACCAAAGAAACGGCGGCAGCACGCGGAAAGAAAGTGTCGCGGGGATCACTCACCCACACCACTACTCCTGATGTTGAGTAACGCCCAGAGCTACAACTTGGTGGAACGCCACGCACCACGTCGACAATGTGCGGCTGGAAGACACCGAACCAGCGGTGACCAGAACCATTCCAAGATGGTTCAAGATTTCCGCTCCGGGTAAACCGCCGGCACCCCCCACCCCCCTCCTCCCTCACTTATATGTAGCCTTCGCGAGCATATCAAGCTTGCTTTTAGCAGGGGGGTATGGTGCGGGGTTCGGGTTCGGGTTCGGGACGCAAACTCCCCCTCCCCATTTAACAGACATTTACAGCTACGTCTTTGCGAAGGCGGTCGCCCCCCCCTCGCCCCCCCCCCCCCCCCCCCCCCCCCCCCCCCCCCCCCCCCCCCCCCCCCCCCCCCCCCCCCCCCCCCCCCCCCCCCCCCCCC